TAAAATTGAACTGTATAATAACTTGGAATATTTTCCGTGAAATTCAAAGTTAAAATATTTCATATTTCTTATTTTCCAAAAGGAATACTGTACACAAACGTATAATATTATTTTAAATAAATTAGGTAACTCAAGAGTGAATTAAAAAAAACACAAAATTTACTATCAAAGTTTTTATTCTGAACAATTTTTTAATAAAAATAATTTAATTGGTATAAATTATTTAATGTAATATTAAGTTCACTAAAGAATGCCCAACTTTATCTTTGGGTATAGTAGTTAAAAAAGTTTTTCTGCAAAAAAAGTAACGTATATTTATATTCATATAGCTTTCACAAAATATTTCAAATTGCAATGCGTTATAAGTTGATTATTTTTATTCTTCAGCGAATACTATGATTTTTTTTTTTTTTTTTGTGTCATCAAGTGGTTATCTTATTGATCTTAGTTCAAAGTACACTTTAAATTACAATAGAGCAATTATAATAATGATAAAGAAAAATCTTAATACTTAAATTATTGTACATTTAATGAATATATAATAAAAGATACATTTTATCCTTATACGTCTATAAGAGGTTTAGTTAGATTTGACTTAAATGCTCTTGGTGTTTATTGGAAATAACTTTCTTTTTTTACATAATGATGAATTATTTATACAATGAGTTGTGAAAATGATTAAGTTAGTCTTTTCATTGTACAATCATGTTTGTTCATTACCAGACAACAGACTTTTCTATGTAAAAATTTTTATTCATTACATAAATAATGAAAAACAAGAAGGATGGAGAACGGAAAATATTTTCATAATATTATTCGGCGTAATACTTTTTTCAAACTCATTTGTCTTACTTAATATGTTTAGCCCATTAAACATGTTTAATACCAACTCACATCTCTAAAGCTTAATAAAATGTGTAATAATCACTGTTGTTTTTATGTATTGTTTTTTTTTTTTTTTTTGACAATGACCAAAAGGTATAATAATTTAAAAAGTTTTATCATAACCTACAAGCCATCAATCAAATTAAGCATGCATTGCTTCTTTGTGTTGGCTCAAATTTATTTATAATTCATAATTCAACCATTTTGGTGTTTACAATATTTAGAGGTTTTTATATTAAATTTCGATGTTAACTCCAAAGTTGTCATTTTAAGAATTTAACTGTCTTATGTATTGTTTGACATTTAAGACAACGATGTAATAAGTTTTTGCGTATGACAATTAGTGCCATATCACAAATAAATTACAAATGACGATTAGTAACTTGGTTGTTTTGGAAGTTAAAAATAAACAAATAAATCATGAAATAAACGTCATACACAAAATCTAATGACATCAAATAAAACATAAGGTTGTAAAACTATGAAAAACTGTCCTAAAAAAATATTTTTCGAATTTTTGATCATTACCTATATTTTTCTCATAATTGTGATTTTGCTGGTTATTTGCAATATAAAATGAATATTTCTAAATTCCTCATAATATTATCCTTCTACTAGTACTAATTTCATAATTATGAAATTAATTCAATAATAGCTTAAGGGAAACTTCAGCTTTTTTTTTCTAAAAAATAGTCATCAAACTGAAATTTAATGGTCTTTAAAAAAGATTAAAAATTTGTGAAACTTTTTAATATCATCAAATTTGTTTGTTTTTTTAGTAGTTAAATTGTTTAATTATTGCTTAATTAATAATTATTAATAATCTCAAAAACTAGATATGATAAAAAAAAATTTTAAGCTAGATTCGGAATCAACGTTAAAGTTCTACAGAGAGTCTATTTTAATATCGTTAACAACAAATAATAGAGCTTAGGTTTACTTTAGTTTTGTTGCTGGAAAATTTAGGATCTATCAGTATTGGAAGAATGTTCTAACTTCAAAACTAATAGTGATGACTACACAATAGTGTACCAAAAATCTGAAAGGGTTAGCAAATTCATTTTTTAATGACTTTTGAATGATAACCATTTTAAAAAAGCAGTTCAGTGATAACTGAACGCGGCACGTGCCTCCCGTGGACCGAATTTTCTGCTGATCATAAGAGCAAAATTAAAAACATTCCTTTTATTTTTCGTAGTTTATACCTAATCAACTAGTAAAATAGACGTTATCAAAGGAAACTTATTTAAATGTATATCGCTAAAATGTAAACAATATCGGTGTGTGAATTTATCTCGTTACCAATAATTAATTAAAAATAAATAACTTAAGCTCTATTTTTACATCGAAACAATGCATATAGACGCAACTAGGTGAATTGTTATCTAAGTGTTTAAAATACATTTGTAATTCTTTTTATTGTGGGTTTATATTATTCTATTTATCTGCAATAAATTTGTGGACCTTTTTGCAAATTGGCTAATGTGCTTCCCATTATTATTAATTGATTGGGTTTTAAAAACGATTTGTATGATGCGGGCACTTTTCCACAGTAGTAAACTAATATTTATCTTTATAAATAATCATAATTATTCATAATGTTGTGAACATCAGGTTTATTATGATAACGATTTCCCGTTTACACTACAATACATTAAATGATAAGCATAATGTTTAAGGCGAATGTTCAACTACTAATTAAATTAGTAGTTAATTTAGCATTAAAACTTCCATTCTGCTAATTGTATAGATAACTATTATGTCATCTAACCTTCAAAAAGAATTCAGATAAATACAGGTGTAGGACATTAAGTTTAGTATTCGAGTAAATGTAATAACTTTTGTATTGGTGAAAAATCGAGTTAAAATTTATTGTAAAATATATTTTATATATATATATATATTTTCATACAGATATATGGAAACGAAAGAATACATTTTCTACTAAAAAAATACATCAATTCATAGATGACTATTTTTAAAATTACATTAATTTATTAATTTGTCTTATCTATTTTTTTAATTTATCTAATTCATTTTTTAAATTCGTTAAGTATTTTATACTACACCTGTTTAAAATTCGTCTATAGTTTCTATTAAATTATTAATTAAACTATTAACTTAATTTAATTCAATATAAAAATTGTTTTTGCTTGACCCAAGTCATTTTTAAATATTTGTTTAGTTTCAAAATTGTATTTTCAACTTAAATAAGAAATACATTTTGAACATATTTATAACATAAATCAATTTTGGGTATCGTCTGTAAAATTGAAAGAGTAAATAAAAGTATAATTTATTGTACCAACAGCTGTGTTAAAATGAATATTATCAATCATGTTTACAATGGATTCGTAAACTGACTTATTTATCATTCGAAGAAAAATAAATTTTCAAAGAACCCATAAAAGTAAAAAATAGTGGTCACTTATTAAGCTGAACATACGTGGTATAACTAAAATAAATAAAGTTATCTTTCTTGGGTACCTTTGGGGAGTCTAAAAAGGTCATTTTTAGTTGGCGATATTCTTTGTCTTTTTAGGTTTAGATAATCCTTAGAGACGTTCAAATTAAATGAAAAAAATCGATTTTCAAAAAAAAAAAAAAAATGCATTCGTTGTGTTGTTGTATAATGACAATAATATCTATTAATAAAAAATAAAAATCCTTCTTTAGCTCGTGAGAAATAATTATAAATAAAGTATTCAATTTTGCCTAGTTAATAACACTTTATCATTTTTCACTAAACTTAGTAAGTTTATTAAATATTTCATTGATAATTTCGAGTAAAATATTCAAATATAGCATTGTGAAGCTTATAAAAAAATGCTTGATATATAAATTATTATTAGTTTCAATAAAGATTTAATAAAAACTATAAATGAATTTTAAACAAGTGCAGATAAAACACTTAACGCATTTAAAAATAAATAAAATAAAATAGATAGATTATAAAAATAGATAAGACAAATTCATAAATAAATTTAATTTTAAAAATATTCATGTGTTTGATAGATTAAATTAGAGAAAAAAAGTTGAATTAAAACAATTCAAGCTTCAAAGATATTTTATTATACCGCAAAGATTCACATTTGTGGTACAAGTAAGTATATTTGCCATATATTTTAGAAGAAAAGAGCGAACCTTTTATAAAGTTATTGTATTTAATGCTCCTAACAATTTTCGCTCTGAATAATGAAAACCTCTTGAGACATTTTAAAGGTATATGAAAAGAAATACACAGAGATAGCCATCAAAAGGAAAAGCTTTAGGTTGAATGACCCATTGATATTCAGTCTTAAAAATGATTTATTGTTTGAACACCTTAAGTCATACAGTTAACAATTGTTGTCTTAAAAAATATCTGATAAAACGAAATATTTTTAATGCAAAATAATTTTCAATACTATTTAAGTTAAATTAAAAATAATAATTATCGACCAAAACAAGTACTCAATTTTAAAAATAAGTTAGAATTACCGAGAAACGTGAATTTTTATATAATCTAGAGGTATATCATAAAATATTATGAATATTATTATTACAACGATGTATTTTTCTATTTTTTAGGAGTTACTTTGATATTTTTAATTTTATACACAATGATTATGTTGAAATATTATGTTCAATTTTATTAAACAATTCCCTTTTTATTTTGAATATTTATATCTATTCACTCCCTCGTTTAGTAAATTGTTAAAGTCTTACAGCACTAAAACATAATTAGTTTTATTTATTAAATAAATGAGATCTATTTAGTTTTAATGTTTATTGTGGTACTAAATCGGATGCATGAACATAAATATTCTTTTGAATAACTGATTAAGTAATAGGTATTTTAATGTTTGAATATATATAAACACAATTTTACGGTTTAATTTTTAAGTAAGTCCATTAACATTTTTATGCTAGTGGGCATTTTTTTAATTATTTAAAATTTAATATTTTGACTTACGGATTATATAAAATTAAAAACTAAAGGCTTATAAAAAAAGTATCCTATTATAGGATTCCCTATGTAGCTCAAATCATTACATATAGTATAGGTTCTTAAATTTTTTATCTTAAATATTTTTATTGAAGTAAATATTTAAACATAAATATCTTAATATTACCGTGAACAATACATTTGGTCGGATAATATTTAACTGAAGATATTTTAGCACATTCGTGTTTTTCAATGTCTGTTAATTCCGCAAGAGGACGGATTTCATTTAAAGCTCTCATCACTTCCAAAAGTTGTTCTTGGACGGAAGCCATTAAATCATAGTCCAGCTGATCTTTAGGTTTACCCATTACTCGTTCTACGGCGCACCTGAACGCCTCCATGATAACAAAAGAACTTAAGATTTAGAATTACAAGTGTATTATATTACAATAATTAAGTTTACTATACGATACTATTGATTAAAATTAATAATTAATGCAGCACAAAAACACATTATAAGATGTAAGAAACAAACATAGTACATAGAAATTCACATACTAATTGTCTTCAGTTTGATCAATAATATAGTCAAGGGTCTTATCATAAATACGTTATAAATATCAGAAACATTTAAAAATATACTGACGGAATAATGAAAAAAATTGATTAAAATTAAATAGTTAAATTCTCTTTACTAAAGAAGAAAGTATTAGAAACATATAAATAAATTTTCAAGATATCCAAGAATCGTCCGTCCTATTGATTGACCCATAACAACGTGCTTTTTGAATATTATTATAATATACACATATATTTAAGATTCAATGAAAAGGTATTAATTTTACCATGATTTACATAATTATTTTTTGTGTCTATCACTACTTTTTTCGGCTATCATTGGACTGGTTTTTTAATGATATGTCAAAATATCACAAATTGTATCTAATTTTAACCTCAATAATTTGAAAAAATAACTACACATAAATGGGAGAAATCTCAAAAAAATTGTCATTTTTTAAATCGGCAAATTTAAAATTTCTTTAAACTTATAGCTTCGATACGAAGCTGAGAAGGTATTGGTTTTACTAAGATGTGTTTATTTATTATTTTTTTTTTTTTTGTGTCTGTTATCACTTTTTCTCAGCTCTCACCGAACCGATTTCTTTCAATGATACGTCAAAAGATCACAAATCGTATCTAGTCGAAGACATTACCCTCAAAAATTGAAAAAAATTCCCTCGTTCCCCGTAAATGGGGGAAACCTCCAAAAAAATTACAAATTTAAAAATCGCTAATTTTCGAAATTTTTTCAATTTTTTTTACTAAAAACTGCCGTAACTTTTTCAAAATTGAACATATTAATAAATTTTTTTTTATATAGATGCTTGATGTTTTTAACCATTATTTGATATATTTTTTTTGTAAATTTGACCCTTCACCTGCCCACAGGGGAGAATTGAAAATGACAACTTTTTCACAAAAATTTAATTTTAGCTTCGATGCGAAGCTGAGAAGGTATTGGTTTTACTAAGATGTGTTTATTTATTTGTGTTTTTTTTTTGTGTCTGTTACCACTTTTTCTCAGCTCTCACCGAACCGATTTCTTTCAATGATACGTCAAAAGATCACAAATCGTATCTAGTCGAAGACATTACCCTCACAAATTGAAAAAAATTCCCTCGTTCCCCGTAAATGGGGAAAACCTCCAAAAAAATTACAAATTTAAAAATCGCTAATTTTTTCAATTTTTTTTACTTTAAAGTGCCATAACTTTTTCAAAATTGAACATATCAATATAATTTTTTTTATATAGATTTATAATATCATAACCTTTCATTTGGTATATTTTTTTTTATATGTGACTCTTTACTTGCCCACAGGGGGGGTTTTAAAATGACAACTTTTTCATAAAAAATTAATTTTTTCAACTTGACTTTTGAAATTGTTCCGGAAAGTCTGATACTTTTATATATATCTTAAATTAAAGCTAATGTAATATACTTTATCATGAAAAAAAAAAATTTCGGACTTTATTTTATCTTCACGGTGAAAATGGCTACCGAATGCTATTTTTGTGTGAAAATTTTCGATTTTGTATTTTACATTTTTAACTTTATTATGCTATAACTTATTGAAAAGTGTATTGATCAATATAATTTTTTTATGGGAAATATTATTTTTTAATAATCCCTTTTTCATTCGACATACTTTATCTTAATCAGGATATTAATAAGGAACTAGCAGTTTATGAAGCTTTTGGAATAATCCACCAATTTTTTAAAATTAAACACTATCTAAAGATTTGCATCGAAGCGTTTTTTTTTTATAGTGATTTTAATCACTGTCAGATATCATTATATTTGATCCAACTATGCCACGTCACCACTGTGCCGCGACCCCCCTGTGCTGGGTTTTTTTTTTCTTTGAAACTATCATAACTATTTGAAAATTTAATGTATTAAAACTATTTTTTTATAAAATAGTTTTGCATAATAAGTTAACTTTTTGAACTTTTAAAAATATTTCGGAAATACTCTGAGATTTAAACATATTTTTAAACAATATTTTATATCACATACTATTAGTTAAGATAAAAAACTTTTTTCTCGACACCTTATCTTCTACTTGCAAATGACCCTCAAAGTTAAACAAATAATGTTATTTTGGCATGAAAAATCACTATTTTTTGTGGTACTATAATTTTTTGTTTCAATAATTTTTTTCAATTATTTATATTATATTATGTCAAATGGTGTAGTCATATAGGAGGAGGGTAATTCTCCCATTTAATCCCTCTTTTATAAAAATATAAATAATAAAAAATATTTAGGGGTTAGTTATAAATATTTTCAACTTTTAATGGCAATCCAATAAGTTTATTACAAGAAAGGGGTTGTCCTATCCAAAAGAGTCACGTACGCATTATGATATGTTTTTATATTACTTATAATGTAAAAAATATTTATTTATAATTGGGTAATTTTTATATGTTATGTATCTTATCCTAAAACGAACCTAGAAAATATTAAGCTATCTTGATTAAAGATCTTATCGTCTACTTTAAACTAATGTCTACTTAATAGTAGATTATCTTACAAAAAGTTAACTCAAACAACAATATATATTATTACTATTATTATCGTATATACTACATAATAATGTTATTATTACTTTAACTTCATTTTTAATATCAGTTTATGATTTATTTATTGACTATGGATGGACCACGGGTTATAATATTTCATAATGAAAAGATTTTATTAGTATCCAAAAATAAATAAACCATCAAATAAATAATAAGGGATACATGTAACTCCACATCCACATTGAATTGCATTATTTGTTAATCATTTAAATAATTTATAAAGAAAATTTACGCCATACATATTTACTTAACTATACCGATATTGATGTTCAAGATACAGTTAATAGTATTAGAGAAAATACCGGAAGCATGTACTTTAGTTACTTTAATATATTATAAGTTTAGCTATTTTGTCTAAGTTGTAGCTATCTGAATATAGATTTATTAGCATATAAAAACTATTGATGCTTCGAGTTTTATGCCATTATTCTTTATATGATTAATTATTTTAATTAATTAACCACATTATCGTTTATTATTTTAAGAAATATCATTTCTAATGATTTTTTTTAATCACCTAGAAAAATTTTTTAAATATATTACGATATATTTTTTTTTAAATAAAAACATTATTGTTGTACAGTAATTTTGAATATACATGGTAATTTTCTAACTATATGATAAGCTTCATAATAAAAAATATAATATAAAATTTTTGTTTTTTTTTTTCAAAAGTATTTAATATACTAGTTGCTTTAATTGACACAAAGAATATATATTTCTATAGATAAAAATTGTATCAACTTTAGTAACATACATATCTAACTAAGAAATAAGAAAATAATCGAATTAAGAAAAAGACTGATCGATAACAACTACTTTTAGTATTTGAGACATTATTAAGAATTAAGGAAAAGAATAGTGGTAAAGAACTGGTCTGTTTATTTTTATCTCTGAGCATTTCTAAAAAAAGGGAGGATAGAATTATATTTTTTTGTATGAATTAAAATGGGTAGGACACTAATAACTTCTGATAAATTATATTTTATCTTATTCTCTTGAAAATATTATGGCATATCAAACTGTGTTGGTAAAGAACATATAAAGTGGGTCCGGATAGTAAGTCTTAGCTTGTACTAGTCCTAGGTAAACTTATATAAGACCTAGCTAGACCTTAGACAAATCTTAATACAAATAAGCCTTATTACTTGCATCAATTTTTATTGAATAAATATTAAATATAATTATTTAGTAGTTTTGTTGAATAATATATATCTTGAAAAAATACAACTAAAAGCAAATTATCAATATTGATAACATTTTTTTTGTGATTACTAGGTTATACATATACATTGAAATATTCTTTTAATTATCTGATCGTATAAAAATTACTTTCTTACGCTTCAAATTAACATTGTGTTGTTTTTTGAAGTATTAGTAAAGATACATACACATAATGTATCTTAAAAGTAAATTACCTTACTAATTTTTTTACTATGATAAAGCTATCAATTATAACAAATTTAACAAAATTATCATTAACTATTGAATGATTACATATTAAAAACAGAAAAATTAAATTATTCGCAGTAATAAAATTTATATTCACAAAAATATAACTTAGATCTATTATCATTTTTAATTTATAAAACAAAAAAAAGATATTATGATGAGTCTTTTCAAGGAACTTGACGGAAAGTGAACACTAATGGAAATTTTTAAATCAATGTTATGGTATTCCTTCAGGATTAATTTAATTTAAATTATGAATTTTAATTAAAGATAATTTTAGTGAAAATCAAAGAATAAAAAATGTAGTTCCAGGTTAAAATAGAATTATCATTATACCAACATTAGAAAATTACTGGGAAAATTTCCTTAAAGAAATAAACAGGATCTTAAGAGTTGTCCTATCATTACATGGTATATAAAAACAAGTTTTTGTACTTAGCTTATTATAAAAAATAAGCTTTCGACCCGAATTGATTTTTCTCAAATTTATAAATTTTGAGTCGTAAAACTCGTGTTCCCGGCATTTTAAATTATAAGATAAATGAGTTCAATGACGAACAAATTATAAAAAATTACAAATTTCAAATTACGACTCACAGTTAGCACAAGCTTAGATAACTACTGGTACGAGTGGCGTTATTGATAATTTATGTTTGATAATTAAACAAAATAATTTCTTTTTCAAACTATTATTATATTAATAAATGTTCTTACATCACTTTATTTTTCTGTATTTTACGTTTTCTCATCAAACCCTCGTACTCATACCCCGAGATAAAATTATATTATATCATTATATTCAATAAATACATAGTAACTTGATCATTCTCATGCTCATACGAGACCAACCAGTAACAAATACTATTAAATCATTTTAATCATAGTTTCCAAAATTTTTATTTTTATACTTTATTTTGATTTACTATAATAGAAAAAGTCAATTAAATTTGATTATATGAACAACATCGTTAAAAGTGCCTCGAAAAATTGCATCCAGTTTGAAAATTGAGAAATAATCATCAACCATTAGAGTTATTAGATCCATAATTACTGGTTTTAATTACTGGTCATCTAACATAAAAATTCAAAGTAATTCTAATAATAATATTGTTTCTAGTAATCATAAAATAGACTCAGTGATATGATTAATTTAACGACCATTAATAAAGATTATAATAAAATGAATTGCATATTTTAGATAAAATAATAAATTCTTTCAAAATCAAAATAAAATATTGAAATTACATTTTAATAAAATAGTCATCTCACAAGATATCGAATAATTAATGAACGTTGTACTAGAATTTTGATCAATTGTCAAAAACGTTAACTTCTTCAATCTGCTAAAAAACTTTATTACTTAAGCCATATACTTTTTGAGCAACAAAGTTTTGAACACATTCAATCTTTCAGCAAAGTTTCAGTTTAGTATAAAAATAGTTAAGCCACTGTTTCATCGAGTTAAATTTATTATTAAAGTGTCAGTTGATCGTTTCAAGTATGTTATTTTGTATTAGAAGTTTTACAATGTGGATATTGATTGGGGCGCCTATAGCCGACAATAGTGGACAAATCGTAAGTGATTAATGTTTGTTTTATAATATATTGCCATCCGACGATTGTACTTTGATTTTGAATTCGGTCGGCACTTTTAAAATACGCCCCGAATATGTGGTTCGGGTGATGAAACAATAAATGGCAACGTGATATCCCTATCGCCAACAGGCTTACTGCTGTCAAAACATTTATTAATGCTTGAATTTTACTTTAGTATAGCTTGGTCGATTCCACGTTGTTTATACTTTCTTAAAAAAAATATCCGAATTTTCACATGCATTTATTAGAACTTGTTAACACATAAATCGTAAAAGAAATTTTTGATAAAAAGTTATGATAAAAATGTCTGTGTACGAATTTTTGGTCCTTTATGTCAAAATTACACTACTTGTCGGTAATATTAACGTGTGTATTGAAAACATTACATTTATGTACATGAATGAATTTCTAGATGATTTTTTACAGTGTACATTTACAGCTTACCATAATTGACATAGAAACTTTGACAATTGTTTTTATCCCTATGGTGTTATATAATGTGTAATCGAGTGGAAAATACCTTAAAGAGTCTAATAAAATAAAATTGTATAGTTACGTCTTGCAAAATATATTTTCTTAGTTAGCAAAGACAAAATTTCAATACTAGTTCAGGTGAACTTATGATAAAATACGTTAAACTAATACATCTTAAATTTTTCAGTGTTAAAGTATACAGCTTTGTAAGTTTAATAAAAAAACAAATAGTTAGTTTTTATAATAAATAGTTAATATTTAGAAGATGCTGTATAATAATATGTATAATGAAAAAATTAGTGTGTTATGAAAAATTCTTTATGAGAAATATAATTCTCGCAATAATTTTTTATAGAATTTTTAGGAATATTTATACTTTTTACACTTATAAACTCAAGTAATTTGCATTTTATATTCTTCAATAGGAAAATTGTATTACAATGTTGATTTTTATAAGTATTTAGTGAAAATGACTTTCATTATAAAATCGTCTTATTATTTATTCTACAATAATGTGAGCAATATTTTTACTGGATTATAATACGTCGTATTTATATTTAAATATTGATTTTTTTAAACTACTCGAATGTTCAAAATATTACATTATTTAGCAAATCAAAACGATAAATTAATAATTACCTAGTAACTTGGCTAATACAGTTATTTTCATGTATTTTTTTTATTTATTTACTTTGTCAATCAACAGAGAATAAAACTAAAAAATAATCACATTTTATTTTTTAATAATTAATAATAATATATTAATTAATGATAATTGTATAATAATAATAATAATAATTAGTTCTCAGTGTGATTTATTATGAATACTACCCACGTTTTTTTCATTATTTCTTGAAAACAAACTAAATAAAGTTCAATTATTCATATAAATTATAGTTAAGAACCAAGATTATTTAAAAAATATAATTTTTGAGGGTAGTTTTTTGAGCAACTGTTAAAAAACAAATAGGAAATTAAAATTAATTACTTAAAATTTCATAGAGAATGGACTAATTAAAATTTTTAGTGGACAATAATCAGCTTGTAAATTTAACTTTTAATATATTATGAAATTTATACATGGTAATCAATTTTGGGTAAGACACTTATTTTTTCAGAAATTAGATAATAATTTCTTTACAAAAATTTTAAATGTTTAAAATATTCTAAAAAATGTGTCCCTTACCCAAAATATATCACCCTGTTTATTTTTTAATCTACTAATAAATTAGTATATTATAAAATATTTAATATATTTTTATAAGTAATAAAATTTATGGAACACAGTAATAATTAAAAAAGAGTAATTTAAGTAAACTTATATAGCCATGTTTAAAGTTAAGAGAAGTGATCAAGTTTTTAAAAAAGTATACAAAAATAAATTTCTTTAATTTTGCCCAAAAAATATCACTGATTTAAGTACTTCTACAAATACATTTGGCAATTTTTTAACAAAAACATAATTATTATTTCAGAAAATCGAGAGATTAGCGTTAAAACAATCACTCTGTATTTAGTAAAACCTTAAAAAAATACATTAAAATTTTGTATTACCATATTTATTACGATTCAAATTTGTCTGGGTTTCCAAAAGATGCGTATGTAACGTTACGTTCATATTGAAATAATGTATTTTCTAGTTTTATGGCTATTTCTCTGGTGAACGGCAAACAAAAGTTGCTATTTGTTAGCAACTTTTTATACCTTTTTTCTTGCTAGAAAAAAGGTTCATAAACTACTTGTTTTGTCATAGAGTAAAATTGAGTTTGTTTTTACAATAACTATTTAGCCATAATTCGTTATTAGCTTCGATGCGAAGATGAGAAGGTATTAATTTTACTATGATGTGTTTTTTTTGTGTGTGTGTGTGTTACCACTTTTTTCAGCTCTCACCGAACCGTTTTCTTTCAACGATACGTCAAAAAATTACAAATCATAACTAGTTGATGACATACACTCAAAAATTGAAAAAATTTCCCTAGTTCCCCGTAAATGGAGGAAACCTCCAAAAAACTTACAAATTTTAAAATAACTAATTTTCAAAAATTTTTCAATTTTTTTTACTTAAAACTACCATAAGCTTTCAAAAGTGAACAAATCAATATAATTTTTTTTATAGATGATTGATGTTTTTACCAATCATTTGGTATATTTTTTTTATAAATCTGACCCTTTACCTGCACACAGGGGGGGATTTAAAATGAGAACTTTTCACAAAAAAATTACTTTTTCAACTTAACTTTTGAAAATGTTCCAGAAAGTCTGACACTTTTATATATATCTTAAATTAAAGCTAATGTAATGTATATTTTTATGAAAAAAAAAAATGTCGGACTTTATTTTGTCTTCATGGTGAAAATGGCTACTAAATGCTATTTTTGTGTGAAAATTCTCGATTTTATATTTTACACATTTAACTTTATATTTATATAACTTTTTGAAAAATGAATGGATCAATACAATTTTTTTATGATAAATACTATTAATATACCTCTTTTCGATATATTTTTTTTTAAGTAAAACCATTTTCCTTTTTATATTTATATACTATAATTAAATAAATATATAAATTTTTTTTGTTGTTTTTTAACACCTCCTCAGAATAAATGTATTATTGACTTTTAACTAAATTACAACAAATCAATTTTAAATACAATAATATTTTTAGACGCCTAGAATTTTTAAAGAATATGAACTTAGAGAATTTTAGGAATAATAAATATAAACTAACAACAAGTATTAAATCAATAATTGAATTTTATATCTATTTAACAGCTTAATAAATAAAATATAATTATATATGTACATAATTTTACGATGCTAATTAATAAGTAATACTATACACGATAAATAATGTATAATTGAACATTATATCAATACACATATTTTTACGTATACATTGATTTAAATAGATACTTAATAGCTGATAATTAACTGTAGATCTCTGCAATATGTATATAATTTTATAGCCTATTAATATCGTCTATGTCAGTATAATCTTCTCTTAGCAACAATTTGCCGGCGCCTTCCAGTCCCAAACAAGTACTGGTAAGGTCAGAACACTCCAAACCTACAGCGCATGGACATATAACGAAGTGGGCACTAATATCGGCAGAAGACCCATCTGGATACGAAACAGTAATGTTATGTGGTTCTTCTGACTGGCGGCATGTGTCTCCTACACTAGCCAATGGTTTACACGTTGGAACGCTGTATCTATTCATACCTGTAAAGAACAATACAATTGCGTCAACAAAGTTAAAGAAACAGCTCTTTAATATTTTATTAAATAAAAAGGAAAAACGTTCACTGTTTTTTAGTAATAAATAGAATCATATTTTTATTTCCTAGTAGCTAAATGAAAATCTAATCAAATGATTGATAACTACTAAACATTGAAACTTCTAAAACGTTGTTAAGAGTAAAATTTTAATTACAAAGCATTTTTACGTTTGTATTTGTCATAAACTGTTTAAATATTTTTTATTTTTGACTAGAAAATTAATAATAATTTACATTTACATGCGATTATTAAATTACGTTTGTTAGTCAAGTTCATCTAATTTAGTATGGTCATTAAAAATATTCTTTATAACTTTTTGTTCATAGTTATTATATGTGTATACCTATTACGCAGCATTCATCAACTCCGCAGTCATCTGGACCAACGCAACCAAGAAAAGATGGTTTGCTAGGATAAGTCGAAACAGCAGCCACAAATGTAGCAATTACAACCAATAGCATTTTGGATGTACTTTCCATTTTGAATTCTGAAAAAAAAAATCGATTAATAATTATTATTATTTATAAAAGTATTTGGTGCAACCAACTCAAATAGCCATCTATACAAGAATATTCTCAAAATAATAAGACACAAGAAATTTTTGAAACATCTTTTACATGACCTATGATTTTTGTGCTAATATGCATTACACACTATTTTTAATATTGCGAATAAAAGCATTTTTGAGAATTATAAATAAGGGTTGTTGCCCTGGAGGTATACATAAAATATATAATAACAATATTAGTCAAGTATAAAAATTTCAGTGCCCTTTTTTAAAAATAATTGGATGCTAGTGGGTTATAATGATACTAGTCGTTTGTGACACGGCTTACACTTAATATACGAGCACGTAATATACTGCTTAAAAAGAACAAGGCTGTAACTAAACTGAATTTATGGCAATAAAAAAAATACAATTTGTCCATATTGATATTGTCATTATAGATATTGATTTTAACAAGTTTTCATCCATAAACTTTTATTTCATTAGGTCAATTCATTATAAAACTTGTAAACTTGAATGGAGTAGAGAATTAAATTTAAAATTCTATATTTACTCATTAAACAATTTATGACATTACAATCTGTAATAATACAAAAAGTATTGTGATAATGACAATAGAAAATATCAAATCTTCAAAAATATTTTATTGTTATGAAATGTAATATTAAATGTTTGCACATAGAATTCAACACAATATTACTTCCTAATCTTTGCACTCATTGCACTATCGTGTATGTTTTGTAAAAATAACAGCATGCAACTTTCCGTAAATGGACTATATGCTATTGCCAAACAGACTGTAAAGTCTATTGTTCCATAAATGATTCCTGTTAGATATTATTTGAATAATTAATATTTAAAAAACGACAATAACAACAACAAAGTTTTCACTACAAGGTTATCATATTATTTAGTACTGGTCATCTTAAAATGATATTTGCAATGACATATCACCCAACGTAACATAAAATTTATTGTATTTATTAATGTCAATCATTTTTTAATTGAATACTTTTATTGTAGCACTTCTATTATTAGAAAATTACGTACATAATATTTAACATAAAATGTATTCGTAAATTTTAAGTATAATATTATACTACATAACTGTAAATACTTAATTTTTTTTATCAAAAAGTTGACAAACAACTTTTTAATAATTTAGAGATGTATTTTTACTGTAAAAAAAATGATGAAAATGTACGGAAAGTTTTTCGTAAAACCCGTAGATTTGTAAATTATGCTTAAAATTAAAAATATAAATATTACTAAAAATATATAACTTTACTTAAATTATTTTAAACAATTTTGTTCGCGAAATGAATAGAATGGGCCATAATGTTTTGACAAATTTATTAACTTTTGATCTACTAAATATTTTGTGTTAATCTTTTTTAAATAATTTATACATTCTTAGACTACATTAAAGTCATATTTTTTATTATTTGTTTTAAATTATAAAAATAATTAAATGTGTTTCGAATTCTAATTCTAATTTTTGTAAGATAATTATAATATAACTAAAACTATATAAATATGAAAGAACACAATAAATATTATTTATCATAGTAATTAGGCGTACTAAAAGTTATGTATTAAATAATACATAATAATAATAATAATGAAAAATACTAATACGTCGTCAACAAATATATTTTTTATCCTTCTGTATAATCTGTAACTCCACTATTAAAATTTCGGAAAAAAAAAAAAAAAAAGAGTACTGTAAAATTTATATAAATTTATTTTTACAATTAAACTTTAACTGGTAATTTCATTGACAAACAGATATAATCAGACTAAGTTGATCTACACTATAATAATTACATAAAGTAATTGTACATTAGCATTGTTAGTTTTGCAATAAGATAAATGGACATGAAAGTGGAATATTAACAAACGCAATAAAATTTCACTTCAACGCAATCTGTGAGAATGATTTTATTTTATTTTTTATTTTAGAAAAACACAAAGAGAGCGCTTCAACCCTAAATGTAGGTATATTACATTGTTTAAAAAGAAAGATTAAAACAAATAAATTCATATCGACAAATATTTAACTAAAACAAAAAATATTTCTTATTACAATAAAAATAAAAAATTGTATAAAACGCGTTGTTAAGATTAACTTAGTTGTTATAGAAGTGGGCAAGAACTGCCTATAAACTCTAACCTTTATGCACAAAGATTATCTTAAAATAACATTTATTATTTTAATTTCTCTTATTAACCTAACCTATTAAAAAGTTTTTTTGAAAATTACAATTTAATAACTTCATAATTAATATTTCTTAAACGTCTACCATAATAAATAATTATTGGAACAATCAACAATTTCATATATCCATTTTCATATTACACAATATTATAATAACTCAATTGTGAGTATGGTAAAATTGAACAAAATATACTATTCCATTTGTTTTGTTTTTTTGAAAAAAAATAATATCATTATAGAATAAAAATTTGAAAGTATGTTATTAATATATATATAATCTTAGTTTTATAAAAACTAAAAGTTTTAATGTTAGTCTATAAAATAGAACATGAATAAGTAAAACGTAAAATAAAAATTTTTTGAAACATTTTCAAATAAAGTGAGTTGAATTACAAATTCCAACTTCAAAACACATATTTAGAAACTAAGAGGGAATAGCAAATGACACTATTTAATCTTAATATGATTTTGTCTTTCCAAAAAAAATCTTATATAAACCTTTAAAAAGTAAAAAGTGTGCTTATATTTTTGGTATTATAGTGAAATATTTGCATTAATACAAAAAATGAAATACAGACTTTTTTCTTTAAAAATATTTCTTATTAATTATTATTTTCATAAAAATAAAAACTATTTTTCTGCTGTATATACTATTGTTATTATACATTGAAAATATAATGAAATCGCTTTTGTAAAAATGCTTCCTAAATAAAAAATAATAATTAAAAGGTTTTGAAAATAACCAAAATAATTTAGATAAGCAATTAAGATATATACATCAAATTTTCTTGTATTGTTTTAAAAACTTTAAAATGTAAAATAATAATTTTTTTTATACAATTTTAACATGATACTTTTTAAAACATAGTACTTGATTATTTGTTTAAGTAGCCATCATGTCCTTATCCTAATTTTAACTACAAAAATATAGTGTTTTAAGCTCATTTTATTTATCTTAGTACCAGTCCCTATCGAAGTGGAATATTTTAAAGTCACAAACAGCTATTTTAAATTTTTATAAATGGCATTACGTTTAAATTATCTGTGCTCATAAACTATACACTTCATATAAAAATCAATTATATCAAATGGAACATTTTAAGCTGCTATAAATTATAACAGTAGTTTTAACATTTCCAGATTCATTAACTTTTATAATAAGAATTAGTCACTTATTTCTAATATTGAGTGCATGGGCAGTTATGTTCTTAGGCCTATAAGTCCATTGTGCACACCCCTTGCCGAATTATATTTCTTCAGTTTCTTCCACCGAAATGTTGTTGTCATTGTTGAATACTCAAGATAGAACGTCTTACTAGGCCACGCCTATATATATTCAAGGAGTCCTGTTTCTCATGGGAAATTAAGTCTCTATTTGGGTTTCAAGTTTATTGCCTCCCTTATATTAATTATAATCCCTAAAATTTCACAAAATTACGAATTGTAAAAAATGGCATTAATCAAATTCTTTTTGTGAATTTAAAAATTGCAAAAACTATTTTTTAAGTCTTATCCTTACAATGCTGCGCTTTATATTCCGCGACCTTAGTGTGTCACAACCTTACTATGTTGGATTAATTATTATTTTAACAAAGTCTAAATATGTGAATGATCTTTTTGTGATTCTAGATACATAGAAAAAATAAGTAGATATTTAAAACCAAAATTATGAACAATTGAATGAAAATCTACTATTTTTTCATGTTTAATGTACTACACATTAAATATATACGATTAATCACTAAAAAATATTTTAATAAAAATCTAATACCTATTTTTTTATACAAGATAGATATTTTTTTTTAATTTCCTTTGCTCAAGAACAAAAGGTATGAAAGGAAATAATCTCTTAATTTAGTAGAATTTCTAGAAGCGTCTTTAAAACCCTATTGTGGGAGTTCAATTTTTTAACAATGATATTTTGATAAAGAATATATTTTTGCTAAAATATTCTAAAAAAATTAGAGACAACCAAAAAAGGGTATTATTAAAATATATATTTCAAAAATATGAATGCTACTTTAAGAGTCTTAGAATTGACCACCCCCTTAAAATATGCCACTGAAAATTTCTTATAAAAATTAATTTTACGCGAAAGATGTAACATACGTAAATGTAGACTATGATGTTATTTAATACGTAAAAAAAAAATTATTAAAATTCATAGAGTGGCACATATTTTATTCTATTGATTACTCATACATTCAAGTATGCGGACGTGTATTTTTTTTAACATATTTAAAATCTCAAAAACAACTTAATGTTAGTTATGCAAAAATACATATTTTCTAATTAGTTAAAAGTTCAAGACATTATTAAAGGATTAAAATATTTTTTGTACTATTCAATAATTTTAGCATTATGGGCAGTATTAAAAATAAATTACAAACCATAAAGATTATAAGTGATCATTATTGGTGAATTCTTTAAAAAAACTATTAACCAAAAATTAAACACAAAAATATTAAATGTATTTTTGTTAATATTTTTTTTATTCTAAAAAACTAATACAAAATTATTTATAAGTAAACTATTTGGAAGGTCTCAAAAATAGTTTTGCAAAAAATATATGTAATGAGTTAGCATAACTCAAGACACTACTCAATTTATTATACAAATAACAAAGTATGTTTGATTCAAAACGCTCCCACGGCCATGAAGCACATAGAAAAACATCTTTATTTTCATACAAATACATCGTAGGTAAAAATAAGCTTATTGCGAAAACCCATTATTAAATGGAATATATTGTGAAGTATATGCGTAGGACTAATATTTTTTTTTACTTAACGTGTATAGACTTTAAAAGAAGTCCAGATGATTCGCATACGTCACTTAGCAGCGACTCAAAGTGTGTTTATTGGCTAACTTATTACTCAATATACATTTTCTGTAGTTGTAAACATCAGCTTAACTTCCCTGGAATGATCAAACTCCCAAGCAAAACTAAATGTTTAATGTATAATTCCTAAGAAAACATAGAATTACACTTGTCTCAGGTATTAATATTTACAGGAATTTTAGAAATGTAGAACTTGATAAAAAATTATATGACGTCTGATAAATAAAAAGTTAAAATCGTTCAAGTTCAACAACCTTTTTGAGCCAAACAAAAATTTTATGCTTATAATAAAAAGAGTGGGTTAAACCTTGAAGACAAATTTTTATAGCTACACTAATAATAGTTATTTTTCCTATCTAAATTACCAGTTAGTATTCACGTAGTAACTTTGTTCTTTAAATATGTCTTAAAATTATATACTAATACTTAATTGAATCGTAATAATAAATATTATGATCACTATTTTTTTTTTGGTTTAACTTGAATTATATATAAAGGAAAAATAAATTTATGAATAAAATGTAAAATAATACAATAGTTTCTTCATTCGTATTAGATGAACTAGCGTTTTTCATAGCGTCCGTTCACGAAATTTATTTAACACATCAAAAAGGTCATGCGATCTATAAGTTTGATCATCTTTATATATTGATTGGAACGTAAAAAAGTATTGCCCGAGGTTTAAATATCTAATTCACATCATTAGAAGAAGTTATTTTTTAAATTATATTTAGAAATAAAAAACCATTTCCAAAATATCGGTTTTTAAAGCTATGATAGCATTTAAATTATTCAATAGTTCTGCTATAATATGGAATTCTTAATATATTTTTGTTCTATAATTGTAACAATTCTATATACCTCACACACGGATCAACAAACTTTATGGTGCGGATTAAGCGAAGTAATCTTGTTATAATTGACTTCTGTCTACTGTTTATAATAACGATAATTCATTCTATACACAATTAGGATTGTAGAGAAATAAGCTCTTTAAATTCTATTTGAAATTAGTCTGTAAACTTTACGACGTCTCATTTACGACTAGGTTACAGTTGAAGTAACATTCACACAAACATAATAGGTAGATTCGATACAGTGATCAATATCACTGTATTGAAATATTTATCATTCGTTATTGGCATAAACAAGCACTAGGCTTCAAAGTAAATAATGATAGTATAGATAAATTACTTCTTAATTCGATTTTTAAACACCAAGTTGGGGTCAACATAAATGTAAAATTAACTTTAAAATGAAATCACCCATAAAACTTTTAATTAAAATTTTCATTTGACGTTGTTAAATATGTAGATTATACATATTTAACAATGTACATTTTATAAGTTACCGTAAAACTTGGAACTGTAGTTATATACTTGAAACAGTTTATATTTTACATGCATTATCATTTAATTTTTGTAAACAAATATTTTATATTTATTAACAGTTTTTGTAAACATTTTACAAGTACTGTAGGTAGATAAGATTAAATATCTATTATTATTATTTTATTAAATATTAAAGATTGTAATGTTTAGTCTTGAGGGAGATGTACAAAAGAAATTGTATTACTAACTATTCCAAAATACATCTTAGTCATGTATTTATTCCTACGCGAGAACACCCATATTACTACCTTATTTGATAGTTATATATTTATAAATATATAATTATTTGTCATTTGAATATGAAATATTTTCATAACATTTTCCGTCATTTTTCATTAATAACAAATTTTATAAGTATTAGTTGATGTCTCAACGATTTCACTTGGTTTTTTGAGTTAGATGTCTCAATTTCTGCATAAAGTTCAATGATTTTTGTGTCAATTATAAAAAGCAAAAAATGTTTAATACAACTACTCGTTTTAAGATAAATATAATGAGCCAAATGTAGCATTTCAATTTCTGACTGCCAGAATTATTTAAAATAAAATAAGAAACTCTGCGTAAAATATCTATTTTATTTATTTATCATACCTTAATTATTGAATTAATATACTAAAGTATTAAGCACTGTATTCTTGATTAAAAACGCCCGCATGAAATATAACAAGCTGTTTGTTAAGCGGAAGCAACTGGTAACGCGTTACTTAATTACAATTTAATTACCCCGATTTTTAAATAGAATATCAACAAAATACCAGCAGATTGTAATGTTTTGTAATTTTAATTGTAATGTATTTATAATAAAATCATTCTACTAAAAACAATAACAATTATTTTAAGCCGCACCAGGAACCCGCTGACTTTCTATAGGTATTTCACTACCGCGATAAAAATTTCATAATATTGTAAGTATCACATTCACTTTGTGGCAGACCGTATTCGTGCAGTTGGTGACCGCAAATCATCGAACGTTTTTGTATATGTTACACAACCGAAGATGATAGTAGAGATGCGGCGTTATCTTTAAAACATTACAAATAGCAGCCTATAAAGACGTATAAAATAATCGTTTTCCCTGTTGTCGAGGATTTCATTAATGAATAATAATTACGTTGTTTTTTAAAAAGATTTCAAAATTATTAGAGGGTACACCTCGGGCAAAAAAATATATAATAATAATTCCAATAAGATTCTTCACGACCGGAGCGAATCTGCGTAAAGCGTCCTGTTATAATTATTGTTATTGCCATTATGCCAACAGTTCTTTTGTTTCACCAACCCATTACTTACATAAAAACAATGCGGATCGTATGTGAGAGATTTCAAACATATTCTTGTAATACCTTAGTCCTTGAACGTGCTATCATTAAGATTAATACTCACACAATCGAACTACAGTAATGCATGTCATTTTTCTGCTAAATGCATTAGTTCTTAGTTACGATTATTTTGATTTAGTCTATTATTCACTTAACCGCGACCTTCCTATTACTAGATAAAATAACCAGAAAATTTGATGACACATACATACGCACTATTTGACCTAACGACCGTAACCGGAATATAGGAAGAGGATCAAACAGTCAAGGACGCGTGGTGCAAACCAAAAATTAAAATTCAGTCGAATGTTTTTTTTATTTTTTTAAGTAATAATTTTTAATTCTAGATAATTGTAGCTATTTGAACGTTTTATCGTTAATATTATACATTTTTTCGTTTCGAATGATGATAACACGCGATGAAAACAATTAGTACTTTTGTATAATTGAATTTCACAGTTAGTGATTTAATATAAAATGACTTATAAATGAAGTGCTGGAAATTTACTTATCATATTGAATTATCGAAGTTTATAAACAGGATTTATACAAAAACTCAATTATAAAAGGGTTTACCTCTTCTAATTCTTCAATTAAGAAAGGCCTCACACTACAGAAATTATTTATTTGTAAACTGACGTAATAATATTAGATTGACATTGTTTGCAACAGAAGAGTTCAAGTTAATCTAATTGAAATTGTATAATTATGTTTGCAGCCACTAAATTTTAGAGTGAAATTTAAAATATTGCATTCATTACCCGAAATATTAATTGTTACATCCATAAAATCAATTACTAAAGTCAAGTTATTTGTATCATTAAAACAAACAAAAAATTCAAAAGTGTTAAGTTTCATTATTTTTGACATAAAAGATTGTTACAATGTAAATAGATTTACTATAATCTTCATATTTTAGGAATATCTCGTGACTATAAATTCAAACAAAACAAAAATGAGTAGGTAGCGACAATTGATCAAAATTTAATAACGCAGAATGAACAATATGAATTAATTAGAATTTAACAACTTTATTTTATAGATAACATACACTAAAATACTACGCTATAACATTTTTTTAATTTCAATACTTTCAAAGAAAATTCCATGAAATAAAAAATTTATTTTGCAGTAAAAATATTCATAGCCTTAAGGTTAAATTTTATGAACTCATAAAAAAAATTTAAAAAAAAAGTTAACTTTTTAAAATTGTAGCTAAATAAATCGTTATAAATATAAAATAATAATAAAAGTCTTATTTTCTTATATTATTTTTCTTTTTAATTTTTCAGTGTTTCTATTAATTTAAACTTATGATCATACATGACAATGTTTATAAAATTAAAAGTCCATTGATTGTATAAAACATTTTCTTTTTAATCTTTAAGTTTTTTTTATACTGTATACCATATTTTAAAATGAATTATTGATTAATGTTTTTCAATAACTAAACATGATTTATCACACAACAATTGTATTATTTTAATATTGCATCTTTTATTACAACATAAAAGTTTCAAATTTAATCATTTTTTAAATTATTTTTTTACACAACTATATTTATTTAGTTAGAAAAAATATTACGTATATATATATATATATTTAGAACTGTTAAGACCATCATTTATGACAAATATTAAATATAATTTTTATATAATAAGTACAAAATGTTTGTGTAATAATACAAACATAAGGTACAGTCAATAAATCTTATTTTTTATATACGCAACCATATGAACAGTCGTAATTTTATTCTAACTTTTTTTTAATTAGTAACTTAAAAATTTTAATTTAGTGTTGAAAAGTAAGTCAGTCACATTGAAATTAATTATTTGAGTTTAATTTAAAAAAAAAAAAAAAAAAAATTGGTAAAGAGAAGTAGTTTTATTTATTGCGTGCTGTTCAGTGTGACATTTGGACATTTTTATCACACCATAAAAAAATTACACTTTACTAGCGAGCTTTACGCTGTCATGACAAGGATGAGGAAACTGTGAATTAAAGCTGTCGTTGTATGTTACAAATGAATCTTTCATTCCAAGCGTCGTTAACCCTTAATTGAGCAAAAAACCCTGACGCTTATCTGTTGCTGTGCATCCGGTCAATACAATAGTCGGCCTTGTTTTGTTGCTTAATACTTGGTCATGGCGTTTTAGTGTGTGACAAATATATTTATAAAGTAAAGTAACTTACCCAAATTGGTTTGTATTTCTACCAAGTGTTATCCACCGGGTTGAAAGGTGATCGACTTGAGGCCTTAACTTGTGACTCACGTTAAAAACGGCACCGAGTGTTATTGGAAATAAAAATCTTAAAAATCAAACTGATTAATTAATAGGAAAATTCATGAGTGCAAAACCGGTTGGCACAACGGTTCCGTGACAATTGATCGGGCACGCGCGTCTCACCTGAAGTTATATAGATATAAATGATGATGTACTGGTCGCAAGCATTAAGTCCTCCTCTGACACCCTCGGGGAGGGGACTGGCTGAGGTCACGGGTACGCGAATCGCGAGTGTCCCGTACGGTATTTGTAAGTTTTATGGTGCCCACGTTTCTAATCGCAGTAATTTTCAAGTGACGTCAGGGCACGCGGAACACCAGTATAGTATTACATAGTTTATCTTTAACACAAAACTGAAATGTCAGACCGTCGTGGGCGTTTACTTACTTGGTCTTGGGGCAGTTGTCTGCCGAACGGTACAACCGCATAATATTATGCATGATAAGTAATAACACCAAACAAGACTATAATATATACCAACAGTCACGGCTGTGGCCGAGTCGTGGGACCACCTTTGGAGGAGGCGTTTGGAAAGGATGCGAACACAGCACTATGCAGCTCTTCCACCACACTGTAGACTATTTCAGATCTGTCACTTGCATTCATATTTTATATTTCCCGATTATTGACCTCGTCCTCGTACTTAAAAACCACACAGAAACGAGTCAACGTCTTATCGGTCATCAACAAACGGTAGAACTTCCATGTAACAAAGTTTTTTTGAACATTTCGAACAGTACGTTAATATTTATTAGCTTTTTTTGGTAACTGTTACACAATAGTATTACAGTATGTGAAATCGTGTGCTAAATCATACACTGTAGACCGACGTTGTCTTCCGTAATAAAAAAAATAATGACAGCAGCAGTTTGTTTCTTGATTGTCCTTGATTGACCCCCGAATACTACTGAGGATTTCCCCTGATAACCTTTTCAGTAGGATGTATTATGTGGTTCTAAATGACTAATCATGTTCAAATTTTCTCGAAGATAGTTTGTAAACAGATCGTTATCAAACCGGTTTATCTAATGCTCATAATACATAAACATAATATGTAAATTTTACACTTAAACTCTTGTATTTCTTTAACTCTATTATTAAAATATTAATAAATTTAAATGGTCAAAGTATCTAAATAGCTCAGAAAAGTTACTTTATGTTTCTATTTATTCTATAAACTTGTAATTGTTGCTTGTATTAATTTAACAGGGAAAACTGCGGGGGCTAAGTAGATAGTCCAGCAGGCAAAGAAGTCCCTTAAAATTAAAAAATTATATAGTGAACTCCATAAGATAAACTTTTGAATCGGTAAACTTTTTTTTTTATAAATAATTTTTAATCTTGAACATATTTTTACATTTTTTTCAAAATTACAATATAGCTATTTTTTAATTATTTTCTTACGAAAAAATTGAATGGGTCGATAGCAATGTTAGGATAATTACTAATTGAGTTACAAACATTTAAATACATAGGTAGGTATGTAGTGTGAGTGGGTACAGCTCGTACAAGTGTATATTTATAATGAATACTACATCCGTGTTCTATAATCACTTTATATATAAAATTCTTGTAACTTGATAATTACTCATTCTAAAATTATTATCAACTCCTCAACATATTTTGTAAGAAATAGGCTAAAAAATGGCTATTTTAAAATTGAAAAAAACACAAATTAGGTTTTTATTATTAAAAACAAACAGTAAAATTTATAACTTTAACGTAATGTAAGAATGTAAAAATTATTTAAAAAAAAACTTACAGTTAAATTTTAATTGTATAAAAAGTTGTAAGAGTTGTCAATTCGATCTGTTGCACTATGTATATTTTTAAAATAAAAAATTTTAGGTTAAGGAAAAATTAATTTTGCAATACCAAAAATGATAATTAAAAAAGCAAATAAATGTGAACAAGATTTTTCTGATTATTCCAAAAATACTTCGAAAATATTCATTTTTAGCATATTATGCTTTAATTTTTAAAAGAAGTCGTTAATGAATATATGTTCTCTAAGTTAAACAGATATTCAACCTCATACTTTGAAGGAAGCATCTTAAGCACTTGACCTATATTATCTTATTTGTCCATTACACCATTCTTAAATAACATTTTAATTTTATGGATACTTATATGATAATCCTTAGAAATTGGTTCATGTAAAAACGAACTAAACTACAATAATTGTAGTTTAAATCATTACATTTCACTAAAGTATGACATAACATTTATTGTGATCTCATATTTCAAAGACTTATACAAAAATTGGATTTAAAACATATTCAGAACTTTTCAATGTGTAAATCATATATCTAAAAAAAAAAAAATCATGAAATAAAATCAACATATAATTTATTATAAATTTATTGGACGATTAATACAATTGACAAGTTTTATTAAAGTTATAGTATCTCTTTCAAGTCTTATAAATCATTATTACTTCTTCATAATAAACGACACAAATACAAATGGGTAGAATTATTTTAAATATTATAAATATAAAATAAAACAAATTACAACTAATATTTAATCCCAAATTATACTAAAACATAATAATATTATTAATTAAATTACTAGTATTAAATATGATATTTGCTCATTAACAACGTGCAATAATTCGATTAATACCAACACAATTTTAAAGTCAACTACAAAACTATGATCAAGCGTGGGTTTATTAGATATCTATAAAAATCACTCTTAATCTTTTAAAATTAAAATTACACTTGCTAAAGTCTATCGCTATTAATTGTATAGTATGGTTATTACAGCTAAATTTACTTACATTAAATATAATATAGCCATAATTTTTAATCAACGTATACGTAATAATACGTTTTAATATTTCTTTTTTTTTAATGAAATTAGCTTACTGATAGGAATGGTTTACTGAAATAGTAGTAAAATAGTTAAATCGAGCGTTAAAACGTGTTTTATCGAATAACAATGTAAGACCAATAAATTCAAACTAAAATAACGGGGTGGGTTGGGTTAGGATGAGTTTCAAGATACAGGATTTATACACATCTATAAGTTTGTAGGCGGATATATTAATTTTCTTTTAGGGATCAAAAATAGTGTAGATAAAAAAATAATCACCAAATCAAGTAAATATTCACGATCGAAATAAATTCTCTCTTAATATTTGTTATTACTATTATTATTTATTTAATACAAATAAATAATTAACTATTTTACATCCTTCCGACATAATTTACTACTATTTTTATGTATTACATAATGATATTCCGCAACTTTACTAGAGTTTTATTGCAATAGTTATTATTTAATTAATTCGCTTAAAAATATATTATATTTTAATTACACAATCGGTTGTTGATTATGCGATCGATTTTTACAATATTATTGTTCTTATTAACATTATTTTTTAATGTATAATTATAGTACATCAGTTTATGTGTGCGGTAACAACGTGAAGGACGGACAAAGCGATTGAACAATGACGCCAATACTTTATTTAGTTATGAAAACGACATTAAATATTTAAGAAAGATAATTGAAACAATTAATATTTAAAAAAATTACACACAACTTAAAATATGTTAACGGTGTTATAATTTAAAATTTCACTTACAATCCTAAGAAGATCGATAAATTAATATATTTTTATGATAATGATATAATTAAAAATCAAAGAAAATATTGTTTTGGGAAGACTGCTGCTGATTGCCTGCTGATCGCGTTTGACATTGATCCTCCGCCATTTTCTCTTCCTGATCTTGCTCAGATTGTTCACAAGACAAGAGTGATACTTCTACAGAATTGACGGAGGATAGCGATAATCACAGAGATCTCGAATCAAACACTTGTAATGAGTTGGTAATTCCTTCATCCTGAAAATGATATTGAACAATTTTTAATTTTTACAATAATTTTATTTATATATTTATATTAAATATTTTAATTTTTTAATTTTTAATGTATCTCAAAAAATTAAAAAAAAAACAGCTCATATTATAAGTAATAATTTTTAATTCCCGTATAATGTAAATTAATTACAAATTATTGTAACTGAAGTCTTAAGTAAACTAAGCAATTAATACTAAACTGTTTTATATATTGAGCTTATATTTAACAGACTGCATTTAGTAATTTGTTTAAATCATTATAATTGCATAATTTTACAAATAATTACAAAAACTAGTGAGCAACTAAGTACACTTCATAAACTCAATTTAATTGTGCTATGTTTTTTTTTTTTAATGATTATAATGATAAATAAATTCTATCTAAATAATTAAAAATGTAATTTATTGATATTAATTATTTTACAGACGTCTCATATTTGTTAACTAATAGTTGTGTTCTGAGATTTTTTAAAAGTTATTTTATCGATTCATTTACAATAAATATTTCAAATTTTAGAATATTGTAATTCAATTTAAATCTTAGATGCAAACTTAAAAAATGAACTGACTGTCAATCAAAATGTAATAATGGTTTATTCGGTTTTGAGTGGAATTAGTTTTACCTTTAAACAAGATTCAATGAATTCTTCAAATGTTATAACACCATCTTGGTTGATATCAAGCTTTTGAAAAACCATATCTGTTTGATCCTTTGATTTGCTATTGCTACGGCCCTATAGTAAAAATAATAATAATACACGATAATTTAATAAACTGTAAACTCTTAGCATTTTATTATTATATAACAAATTTAACAAAACGGTAGAACAGTGTATACGTGACATAGTTGGTTAAAATCACTATCATAGAAACGCTTCAATGCAAATTTATAAATTGTGTTTAATATTATGGAATTGATGTATTATTACAAAAGCAAAATTAACTCCTATTTCCTTCATTATGCCTAATTAGTAGTTTTATGATTTATAAGTATAATGTATGAATAAATGTCTATTATAGCAATTAAACGAAGTATGAAATTGATATTTAATAATTTATTATTTACGCTTTATTTCCATTTTTTCAGATACAAGAAAGTCCATTGGACAGCGCTGCATATTAACTTTTATTCAAAAGATTATAATATAATATACTTTTATCCAATACAATGAAAAATAATGCTTGTAAACTCTTTTTATATTACATATCAGTCACAATAGGAACTTGCAATTTTAAAGATATACAAAAAAAAATAAAAAAAAAGCATTTATTTACTACAAACTATTAAAAAGTAAATAAACAATTAAGCTATACGACCCAAGTAGTATCAATTAGTATTAAGTACACCCTCGCTGCCCTCATAATTGTCTCTTTTTTTTTTTTTATTAGTCTAGTCTTTGCTACAATTATTGCCTACTAGTCTAACATTGATTGTAAGCTGCACCTCTGGGTAACTTTTCTATTATTTCTTTCTTAACCTTCTAAATTTAATATTTTGCTATTTCGACGGTGTTCGTAACTGAATTAATCTACTGTTTCAACCGTGATCAAAGATTTATAAATTTCAATTTATAAAGTTAGTTAATCTTCAACGGTGCATGATCACCTTCGAGTTATTACGTGATCAAGATAACTGGTTTCTTCTCTTATCCCTTTAATCTTTTGCAACGGTATTATAATAATACGTTATCAACCGTGATCCAAAGGGTTATACTTATCTCTTTACTTAATTTAATTAGTTCCTAAAGCAAGTCTGATATGATAGGAAATTATTATTTATTAATTAATAATATTTAATAATTATTTATTATAGACATTTTTTGTTTCTTTTTAAATAAAACGAAATAAGCTGGTTATTTGAGAAAATTGTGTTGTGCTTTCATTTCATTGGTAATTTTAAGTTAAGTAAAAACGTTTTTATAGTTCTGAATATTTCAATTGTAGCATCTATTTAAACACCAAGGTTTACATAGAAATGAATTCTAATACTTCTATTTAAATGATTTATTATAATAAAACATTTTTAACGAAATTTTGAATTTTTCTTATAAATTTACAGATAATAATAATTATATAAGTTTCGGATCACATATCAATCTAAAGAATAGAATATTTTATTCTACATAAAATTTTCTATTTAATGATTTTAATTCTAAACTTTCAAGTTGAAATAAAAGTTGTTGAAAAGTTCAACATTTTTAAATTATAATATTTCATAAAAATTAACTTTAAAGGATCATGAAAAGAAGTTAAAATGTCATTTTGCACAGAATATTTTTAAAAACTATAATAACCTCATAAAAAAATTAATTTTTTTATGGATTTCTCCCATTTACATTGAACGAGGAAATTTTTTTTTCAATTTTTAAGAGAAATGTCTTTAACTAGGTACGATTTGTGATTTATTGACATATTATTGAAATAAATCGGTTCGACTAGAGCTAAAAAAAATTGTTGATAGATATAAAAATTAATACTTCTCAGCTCGTATCGATGCTAAAAAAACAATATCATAGTAAAATTAATACCTTCTCAAGTGCGCATCAAAGTTATAATGATTAAATCGTAATATTGTTTACTTAAATCTACTCTTTGCGTTGTTAGACAAAATCATCAGTTTTATGTAATCTTGACTTCTTTTGACATCATTGTCATTTTACCTTCTTATTAAGCAAACAATTTCTATTAGGCATCATTAAAATGTGTTTCGAACATTTTATGGAAACTATAACCTACAGCATGAAAAATTTCTCGATAGAAGTAATAGAGTTAGTTTCTATAAAAAGTAATGTTTTTAACTTTCGAATAAATTTATCTATATTTTTTCTTCAAATTTATATATAGGTAACATTGTAAGTTATTTAATAAGAATACATAACATTTTTAAAAAGTTAGTATCAAAAGTTTGTATAGATTATTTAATAACTACTATTAATTTTGTTATAAAATCAGTTTACATTTAGATATTCAAAATTAAGAGCTACTATTTCTTTACTGTACACTTATAGAAAATATTTATTCAATATAAATAATACTAACAATATTCATTTAATCTTTTTATTTAGCTACTTGATTAAAAAATCTGTTAATATTAAATAAAACATTTTTTAGTGAATTTTATTCATATTTTTGTTAATTATTTATTTAATATAAATCTTCTTCTTTTTTTCCTCTCCTTTATTACAATTACTTGAAGTCAGCTCCCCTTATCTTAAACTTGACATGATCTCCCATATCATATACGGTCACAGCTTCTGATTCTTCTCTCCTCATAACATAACCAAACCATCTAAGTCTATGTTCTGTCATCTTATCCACAATTGATGCAACCCTCTTATATGCTCGACCCTTGTCCTATCTTTTCTAGTCAATCCACTAGTCCATCATTCTCATCTTTGCTACACTCATTCTCTACTCTATTCTCGTTTCAACCGCCATTCTTAGGTAATATTCTTATAGAACTTACCTTTCAGCCTCATTGAAATTCTCTTACTAAACTCTCTTAGATGCACTACTACTCTTACCCTAAAATCTTCCGTTACTCTAGCCACACTTTTTACCCTGGTACAAGTGCTATCTTTATTATATTGTCCCAGATAGACATTTTGAAAAATAATTTTATAAAAACATTTTCATAACATTAATATAATGTTATATGTAATAATAACGTTGTAAAAACATTATTATAACATTATTTTTAAAAAATGATGTCTGGTAATGTAACTTTTGTGACTTTTCTTATCATTAACATTCACTTTAAAACCTTTCTCGGTATTTTATCATAATCTTCTCTTAATTTATAAATACCATACACAGCTTTTTCTTCTTTTCCCTAAACTTTTCTATTAGTTGTCTTACACAAAATACTGGTTCCTTCGTTGACTTTCAAGGCAAAAAAACAAATTGGTTCTTTGTTACAGATGTTTCTTCTTTATTTCTTTGTTTATTACCTTTTTTCAAATCTTCATACCATGACTCATAAGCTTTATGCCTCTATAATTTCTACACACCATATATCTCCTTTACCTTTAAATAGCGATTACTCAATACTATTTCTTTATTTTTTTAGAATTTTTCCTTTAATAGTATTTTATTTAAAAGATCCTTCAAACACCTTTTGCCAACACTGTCTATTATTTTTTATACTTTTACTGGCACTTCATCTGGTCCTATTGATTTATTCTTTTTCATTAATGCCACAGCCTACCATACCTCTTTCTTGCTAATTAAATCTACCATTTCCTCATTTCAATAGATATCCTCAAATGTCTCTCTTCGATTATCCATATTCAGTAATTTCTCAAAATATTCTTTTCATCTCTTTTTCACATTATTATCGATTTTTTGAACTCTTTTATCATGACTTTTTATACACCTTACATTGTGATAATCTTCAGACCATATGTTCTTACTTTTTCAAGTAAATTTCTGAAAAATAAGTCTTTTTTACCTTCCTTTGTTCCTAGCCTATAATATAACTCATCATATCTTTTTATTTGATATAAATTCAACAAAATATTAGTAATTCAATAAAATGCTGAGTAAAATATTTTATGCATACTATTACATATTTTAAAAACTTTTCAATAGACTGATATCACTTATGACAATCGATGAAAACTTTATAAAATTGTTTGAAAATAATATCTGCAATTAACATTTTTAAAGTAATGTTCACACGTTTAAAAAAAAAATGTTTAATAACTAGTAATTAAATAAAATTAATTTGTTAACTAAAATTTAATATTGAACATATATCTCTCCATTATCCTGTCAACTATATTATTCAATGAAACCTAGCTTTCATTTTGTTCGAGTCATTTATAATTAGGACTTCGAGAGATTAGAGATAGGGGATGAAGAGAAATTATATTGTAGTCACGTACTTGTGGTCTCTTGCCCATTAGCTCGTGAATGGCCAGCACGATTTGACCGAGCTCAGACCTTGTTATGCATCCGTCACCATTCAAATCGTAAAGCTTAAAAGTCCATCGGAGCTTTTCGTAAATAGATCCACGCAGTAGTGTGGATAATGTCATTAACATATCCTATAAACAATAAAAAAAAATAATTTCATTACAATTTAAGTAAATTCATTTTAATAAGTTATTTTTCTCTCACTCTCTTCCGAGTTTATAGAACTATTGCAGTTAGGCAATTTATATAATATATACATTTATTAAAATAAATATATATATATCGTTACTTAAACAGTTTGAAAAAAAATCTTTTAAATATTACAACGAATTTTTTCCAAATTTATAATTGAGTAAGAAAACGGATCATGAGTATTTCAATCTAATCATGTTCAAATGAGAATATATCAAAAATACAAGATAGAATTCTACATTTCTATTGAAATTTTGACTAACTGTGTTTATTTTTTTAGGACGTTTCCGTTTACTTAAAATAAGCTCATAAAGCCTTATAATATTATTATTCGTTTTAGCATCCGTAACAGATTATGCTGGAAAATTTTAAAGCTCATCATCTTTGTACACAACGATCGATAGTTTCAAAACTTGAAACCCAACAATGCTCCAGTAGAATGACGAGAGGCAACGTAAAATATAATAGTTTCTAACCAGCCATATTCAATGATCAAACATCACAAATAAGAAAACTAATGTCATCTTGTTGAATACATTCAAGTAAAATAAAATTCTAAAAACGATCGAATAGTATTAAAATATGCTTTTCTACTTTTTTGTTAAACATCAATAACAACATGGATTTATGCTCGAATAAATTGAAAAAGTTTTTACCGTTCTCACAACATATTGAATAAATATTTTTAAAGTATCTTAAATTCAAACTGTATATTTGTTTAAATATGATTTTACCTATTACAAATAATAACTTTTATTAAATACGCATTTTTTTTTTTGAAAGCTAAAAAAGTGTTTGTAGAATATTTAGGTGTAAGAACAAAACTCAAAGTACATACATGTTTATAGATTGACAAACAAACAATAAATTAATATACAAATGATTAATAAATTTTATTTAATATTAGTGATTAACATTTTTAAGGATTAACTTCTGAAAATTTTCCCTACTTTTTGAGAAATATTATTTAATATTTAATGCATTTAAATATAATTTTAAATATTTCTATATTACCTCAAGGGAAAACATTATTTTTCTAATTAAATAAAACTAATTTCATAATATTCATTTAGATTTAACCGAATTTATAAAAACAAACCGAGCACCACATTGAATACTAAACATTGTTCGACTAAATTAATGACTAAGAGGAGAATTATTTAAAGGATTAATGTTTTCCACATAATAAAATAATTACATTAAAATCGTCTATTCAAATTGGGTATCAAGTATATTTTATAATATTGTAATTTAAATGCATTTCTTGGCTTCTAAAAAAATACAAAACAGCACTTGAACGATTTCCTTCTTAAAAATTCCATTGCACGCAATACTTATGCTTGCAAAAAGTTGCATGTTGTATTGTTTTGATAATGTACATTATTGAAATTTAATACTTACTTTAAAACTAATTGCGCCGTTGCATTTGACATCGAATGCTTTGAACACAAAATGAGCATATAAATTCGAATCTAAACAGACAAATTTAATATAAGTACTAAACTTTATTACAAAGTGTTTAGACTAACTGTAATAAATACAATGAAAATGAAATGCTGGTGGCTAAAAATTTTATCGAATTTTTTGGTTGGTCAAGAAATATCTCCCGTTTAATATTTGGAATATTTTCTGATAAAGAAAAAATTAAGGACTACCCGTTTTATTATTTAAGTATAATCTCTGAATTATTATTATCATTGTTATTATTATTTAAAATAATTTTATTCTTGTGGAAGAGGCTTAGAATAATTCTACAGCCCTTCTGGTAGTTGTAAGAGATGACAAATAAAGTTATATCAGGTGAACAGCCAAAATTCTGTCAAAAAATATGAGGAATCCTAAAAAAAACTAGGGNGTAGTTGTAAGAGATGACAAATAAAGTTATATCAGGTGAACAGCCAAAATTCTGTCAAAAAATATGAGGAATCCTAAAAAAAAATTGCACGAATTGTCTCATGTCAGATGTCACTACTAAACTTTTGGTTAATCTTGTATCTAGGTGCGACAGATAGATATACAGCGAAAATAGGTACGTGAAATGTTGCTACGTTAACTTGTGGGATCAAAAAATTAGTAGGCGTTTTAAAAAGAAGAATAGTTAGTATTTGTTATGACCAGATACTATGCCTGTTGCCTACAGAATAACGAAAGAAGAGATGAAAAGTAATGTAATAGACGTTAAGAAAAAGGATACAATGATTGCAGTAAAATTAATTTTTAAGGAAAAAAACTTAAATCTGCATATTGTCCACAAGTATGCTCTGAAGAAAAAAGAATATACTAAAAATTATGATTTTAGCAGAAAATTGAGGCTAAAGGAAAAGTCTTAGATTTTACAATATCGTGATTTTGATGTAGCTAATACCGATTTTAGGAAGAGGGAAGAGCATAACATATCTAATCATAAAGGGAGTAATAGACCACAAATTGATTATTTTATGCGGAAGAGAGAAAGCGTGTAAAGTTTGACAATAGCAGAAGACAAAAAGATTGGAAAGAGTACTGAAGTTTGTGTAAAGAAATAAAAGGTGGAGTAAGTAAGGCAAAGTTTATGAGATATGAGTTTTATGATAAGTTAGGAACAAAGAAAGGTGAAAAAAGCTTTACATGATATTCATAAATTTAGAGAAAATGTGTGATAGAGTACCAAGACAGATTTTTAATTGGATGTAATAAGAAAAGTAGTTCCAAAAACATATGTATGAAGGTATTTGAACTTGGATAAAAAGTGTATATGGAAAAACAGAGGATTTAAGTGTAAAAGTAAGTGTACAGCAAAGTTCGACTTTAAGCCCTTATCTATTTGAATGAAATTACTAAAGAAATACAAAGAGAAGTTGAGATTAGACCTTGAAGATAAGGGATTAAGGATCAGTTGGTGTAAGACAGAGTATACAAATAGAGTATAAATTTGACGAAATATAACATGAGGTCAATTTATTTTGTGTACTTTATAAACAAGTAAATAATTTAGACATCACTTTAGCGCGCTGTTTTAGCTATGCTATTTGCAAATGGGTGACCATATTGGAGCTTAACAGTGATAAACAGTTTTGCCTCCTTACTGGCTCCCTCGGCCACAATGAGGTTACACCAGACAGACAGCCGGTGTAAAACTACAATCGTATCGTAAGGTAGAGTCAACATCAAATAGTTGAGATAGAAGCTAAGGAGATAATGATGACTTTATAGACCCAATAAAAATTAAGTAAAATTCAGGAGATGTGTTTGGATGGAGTACATTTATTTCCCCTTTTAAAATATATTTTATATAACAAAATAATTTTTTGTAAATGGATGGTAAAAAATGAAATGGGAGAAGGGACTAAATCTATCTTCCTCTATTAAGCACGACTTGTGAAAATGGTCTGAACACGACTACCAATATATTAACTAACATAAACCACTTAAATGTCAACTATACAGTTGAAATGTATGCTAAACAAAAGTTTAAAAACATTTAAATTCATGTAGACATATAATTTACAATGTTATACCATTGTTTTTGTTTCTTTATACAAAATTGTAGTGTTCCTCAAATATTTAAAAAAAACACAATTGTATGCTTTAACATACACTGGTTCGTTGTGTTTTATCTGAAAATTAGTTTTAACATACACCACAATAAGATAACAAAATAAATTAAGTTATGTGATAATTTAAATTACACATTTTGTGTAAACGTTCACGTACTTCCGTGAGGGAAAAACTTGGAGTATATATCTTTGAACAAATCTTCATGCACAACTCCTTCCGGACATTTCTGTAACATAACAAATATAACATACAATTAGTATAAAATAAAATTATAATAAATGGTAAGTATATTATTACTTTAATTGTATCTCCCTATCTTTGTATGATATTTATAATATAGAATAAACATTTTTAATGTGATTGAAAAAACTAATTAAGTATAAATTTAATACTACACTTAGTTATTTTAAAATAAAAGTTTACAATTTGAATTTTTTTTTATTTTTATGGTAAATTCTAAATCAATAACCAAATAAAGTGCTTTAGAAACCACTGTAATATCAAAAAGTTCTCGGAAATAAAATACAAGGAAAAAAATACCAAAATAAATTAAAAAAAAGTATTCCTTTACAAAATAAAAAAAGGGGTCCAAATTGTAGTAGAATGATAATACCTCAACAAAAAGGAATTTATAGTCCGAATTATCCTGTAAAACTATAGTTGCTATTAAGACAAATAATTTTAAATAATTATAAACACACTGGATGAGCTTAAAAAATTACAAAATTAATTAATATTTTGTATAAATAGTATTAATAACAATTTTATAATTTAAAGTTAAACGTTTACACGCACTCATTAATAAAAATTTAAATACAATTTTTATATTTACAATTTGAATGTCGTGAAATATTTAAAAAGGAAAAGAAATTAAATACTTAAAAATTTGAATATTACATTATACAACTCCTAAAATTTAATACAACATGTTATCTTTATAATATACTAATTATAATTTACCACTTGAGGATTTTTTAAGGTCAATGAATTCTCAAAGATACCCTTGGCTAAAATTAAGCTGTGTGTTTTTTATATTTTCGGCAAGAAACCATAAAACAAACTTTATGGTGTACCATTATGTTTAAGTTAGTTAAATACTTCAACAGGTTGAAATCGCTTAAGACCACAAAGCTATTTGGCGCTGAGCCCTAATAAAGTTATTTACCACAAAAGAAAATTAGATATTAAATTTTACGAGTAATAATTGATACTGTCAAACACACACATGTATCAAAATTGCCGACCAAAACTCCGTGTTTTATTTTAAAAATTGAAATAATAAAGTTTTATTATAACTATATTTATGAATTTTTATGCATTTGAATATTTTTTTTATTACGGTAAATAAAAAAATTTATTTGACAAAAAATGTTGACATTAATTTGTATAATAAAAAATAATCTAATAAAATATTTTTGTTTAAAATGTCGATTGTTTTAGTATGTTCACATATTTTTTTTGCTTCACTTATTCGTGCACATTTAAATGCGAAATAACTTAATAATAATTATATAGCGTCATATTGTACATTTAATAACAACTATGAATAGCAACAGTGTTTTAAACTAAAATATTTATTAATTTTTAAATGTATTGTATTAATGTATTAATATTACATATTTCAATTTTAAATTTTCTTTGTATTTTAAGAATTAAACTAACCATTATTAAATATTATGAAAAACAACATATTATAATGTAGAAAGTGTTTTAATTTTATGAATTTACGTACATTATTATTAAATTAATTTTAAATAGCAAATAATGCGTTTTAGACAATTTTAATCATTTTTTATAATAATTCAAATTATTAGAACACTGAACCTATTCAAATTCCAGAACAAGTATAAAACATTTTTTTTCATTTTATTGATTGATTGGTTAGATTTTTTTCAAATATTTTTTAATTCATTCAATAAACCTACATACAATATTATTGGTTCAAAGAAATGAGATATATCTTTTAAAAATTTGATTGATGTCATAACTTCACCTAGAGTTATATATTTTATATATACATAAATAATTAAATTTGACGATTGAAAAGATGACCTTTTTAGATGGAATTCGTCAGAAAAATTACTCGATGCCTAATTTTTGACTTCTTCCCTAAAATTTAAAAAACTCAAGTAATTTTTTTGTTTATAACTCCCCGTAATATTGAATTCAATCACGTTATATTTATATTAAACATAGTTTTACTATATAAAACAAACTATTGTTGTATTAATAAACGTCACTGTTAAATTGCTAGTCATAATAATTTATAAACATTTACTAGAAATTTGTCAAATTTAATTATATTATCTTTTAAATTACACAAGACAACATTTGTATGCCCTTTTTTGTTTAAAATTTCAAAGGAACACCTCTTCAGTTGATTAGTATAATTTTTGTAGACATTTAATAAATATTTAAAAATACACGTTTTTACAAAATATTAATACTATATATTAATCTGTAGATAAAAACTTTGAACCAACGCATAATTTTATTTAATATGTTTATCTACTNTATATATTAATCTGTAGATAAAAACTTTGAACCAACGCATAATTTTATTTAATATGTTTATCTACTACGTGTGTATAAAAAATTAGATACAATTTTTTTTTGTCAACGTTAGACGGTTTATCAAAAAAAATATTGTAATACAGGTATGAATTTATACGAAATTTAACATTTTTTCCACGTAACGTTTATAACAGACAGAAAAAAACAAAGTTTTATTTTGTATATTATTTTGTTACAATAAATTTTAATACGTAAACACGAACCGGCACGTTCGGAGAGATTGTAAGTACAGAATGATAAAACGTTTTTCCTGTCAGCCGCTCGCCCTTTTCCTCACGGTAACAGTTGTGAGTACTTTTTCTTTCATTTCCCACAGGTGCCGCCGCCCCCTTTAGTAGTGTGTACCTCGTTGTGAGCTGCAAAGATATTATATTAACAAAGAGAANTCATTTTTACCTCGTTGGGAGCTGCAAAGATATTATATTAACAAAGAGAAGCGCGCGCACGAGATAGAAGGGAAAGTATTCCGGTAAGCTCAATGTTCAATTCAATTGGCTATCTCGACCACCGTAACTGTCAGATTAGCCGAGTACACTCACAGGACACGACGATATATACGTGTACAATATTTATTTGCACATGTGATATATATGAGGGGATTGCGGTGAGGGGGTACGCGGAGAATATAATGTCACAGCCACCCACAGAATGCCCCTTTGCACTATCCGGTCGTTGTAAAAAAGCACTGTAACCGTGACGTCACCGGAACTCATCGATTGTTGTAAACGACATTGGAGAACTGGCTGTGGCAGCAGTCCCTGAGAGAGTAAAACCATCAGCGGTGCTGTTAGCGTGACACTGCGGGTTAACAGGAAGACGCTAAGGCCACGACTATATTGCGCTTTTTCAATTATTTGCTTTACTTGTTTTTACCTTTAGTTGTTGCATTTCCCATCTACTTTATATGTTCGCGACTCTATAACATTCCTGTTACACTTCCCACAGTATGAATACTATACGGTTAATCAATAAATTCAATTATAAAAAAAATATGAAATGAAGCAAACTTATTTCTACGACAAAGCATCAAGCACTACCCACTTCAATCTCTTTGCTCTCGGCTAATACCCCTAAACCAACCCCCGCCTTCAGTAAAGTAATAAATTTTTATGAACTTTGATTACGTATACGAAAGAAAAATAACTTTTCACTTCCTATGCTGACTATAATAGATTCGATAGTGTAAATACATAACTTTAAGATAGAATTCAATGAATTTAAAAAGACAAAAACGGTCTAAAATATTTTTTTTATCTATACATTTTAATGTTTCAAAACCTATAGAACCCACTTCAAATATCTTTTTTTGTGAAAATTCAATGAAAATCAGAAAGTACAGAAAGGGTTTAAAAAAGACCACCACGCATGTAAAAAAAAGCGTTTTCAACTCGATTTTTGAAATGTTTTTAATAAAACATTTTATTAATCAATTTAAAGGAAATTTTGAATAAATAGTGTTTAAAATATTATAATTGTGAACGAATTTTCGATATTTTATGTCAAATTTACAATGCTAGTGTATACAATTAACATGTGTATTAAAAATATCATACTGAGATTTGAGAACTTTTAAATCATTTATTATAGTGTATTAACAAAGTTATAACCGTTGTTTTAAAAAAATATCGTTTGTTGCAATTGAACGAATAAATGACAAAGATATGTTGAACAACATTTTTTTTTACACATTAACATTTTAAAAATAAAAGGAAATTCGTTTAATGTTAACCAACAGATTTCTTTTAAAATAATAAAAAAAAAATTTATTTTTTTATAATTTATATACTTCTTGATTTATTAATTATTAAAAAATTTAGGCTATTCATTATAAATTATAATAATGTAAATTTTATTTTTTAAGCAACAACATGTATATATACATATGTAGTTTATATAAATGAAAATGGTCTTATAATGAAAATAACTGGTTGATACCAACTTTTTGTCCAGTACTTTTGAAGTTCTTAAAATTGCATACCTAGGCGAAGGAAGAGTGCAGCAAAAAAGTATCTAATAATAAAAAAATCATGCTCACGTCACATTCCAGTCTATATTTTAGAATCGTAAACACTTATAAAATAGTAGGCTATTAGTTGTTATAGACCAGTCATTTTCCTAATTGGATAATTTTCTTATATATAAGCTGCTTAAATATATAATATACAGCAACTAATTGTATATTATTTCAAATTTCAAAATAGCCAGATTTCAGCTTTATTTAGGAAACATTTTGATGATTCAAAAACAATTTTAGTATAAGGACTTTACAAACATCTTAATGAATACAGTGGGTAGGTGTCGTAAGTGAGTAAAGCTCGTACTGGTGTATATTTAAAATGCATACTCCATCCGCAGTACATTCTCAGTGAGTATGTATCGCTGAATTTTGTTCTACGTATAAAGACCACATTTTTGGTAAATGTGAGCATGTTACTTCAATCGCTTTAAAGAGGCTGAGAATTGATTACAAAGGTTAGAAACGATATTTATTGCGTATATATTTTTAAACACTGTAAATATTTATTTACAATGTACATATTATAATTTTACCGTATCATTGATTAGTTTTTATAAATTGAATTTTCTGCCAAGTTACAAATAAGCATTTTTTTTTCATATCTATAATATTTAAAAATATGTATGTAATAAACA